ACTTATATGTTAGGCGATTTATAAACACAAATCTGCTATCATTTTTGTGGAAAAACAAAACAAAAAAACTGCAGCGTGACAACTACCCAATGTAACTACATGCCCTGGTCTTCCCCAATGGAGGGCGCTGTTATTCTTTAAAACAAATTTAGGAGGTCAGTTTTGTGATTGGGGATCGCAGCGTTTAAAGTAGCCGATACTTTGTATAGGTTTGAAGGCATCTGTTATATTTAGGTCTGTATCAGGAATATCCTTATTATTATTGCACAGTCAACGCTGTTTTTACAGCATCTGCTCACCGCAGTGCCTGGGAGCCAGTCTGTAGGCTTCCTCTTGATTTTCCCAGAAGCATGTCAGGGTAGACCGTAGGAGGAGGGGGATGCGTGGGGGAACACCATTGCACAAACATAAGCCTGTGATCTCACACAGGGGTTGAAACGGGATCAGATAGAAGGAAAGCCCTCTATACCGCTACCTGTACGTACCCTCTGTAGCAGGACTGCATGTGGAAACTACACACTCCTTCATCAAAGCATCATGTTTCTAACAGAATTTATTGGAGATATTATCTGAAAATAATGGGTAACACAGAGTCATGCTTACATGGTTGGTGTGAGTGCAGTGGTTTAACGGATACATTAGTAGTCCAGAGAGAGAGAGAGAGAGAGAGAGAGAGAGAGAGAGAGAGAGAGAGAGAGAGAGAGAGAGAGAGAGAGAGAGAGAGAGAGAGAGAGAGAGAGAGATATATATGCTATACTGAAGAGGAGGGGTGATTCGGAAAAAGCGATGGGGGGAGTGTAGGTGTGGCTGTCTGTAAATTAGGTCGAGCTCCACCGCGCACTAAACCGTTTTTATAGCTGTTCCACTCCAACCAACACCGTCCTCTACACGGATAGCTCCACCCACGAGCTGGGGGAGTCTACTAGCACCATGGACAGCTCCCGATGCACCAGGAGATGTTTCTATTCAATATGATCCGTGCCACTCCCAACAGTGCGTTGTTTTCATGCTTATCTGGACATGTATATCGGAGACGGTACTGGGCCAAACGGAGAGTGTGCTGCTGACTCAGCGTCGACTGCTGCATTCATTTATCTGCACTGCAGTGCACCCCCTCCCCCTCTCCTCCTCCATCCCTCTCTCTTCTCCCCCTCACTGCACTTCACAACCATCCCGGAGCACTGCACTGAGACACGGAGAACCGATGGTCAATGTGGACCGAATAATCGAATAATACTACAAGTGTTCCATCACATAGAAGCAGTTGGTGAAAAATGACAGAGACAAAAAATGAAGTTGTAGCAAGAGCTGGGAGTGCTGACCAAGATGGACCAAGACTGGAAAAATCACGTGACTTGATTGGCAGAAATATCATTTACAATACGATCACCTTTGAGGTCACCAGGGCAGCCTAATAGTTGCACAAACTCTGGGCTCAGTTCGGCCTGATGGACACAAGAGCAAAACTGCCCAGATGGACTGTACAAGGGAGCAAACACTGGTCCATCTTGAGAGAGGGTTGTTGTTAACACAGGCTCTTAACAAATTCAATACGACCATTACATTTGAAAGGACGCCCATTACCGCAGCACCACACTTCTCCATTTCATAGGATGTTTTGTGTATCCACTTGCTCCTTACACTACACCACAAAAGTGAAATAACCTGCACAAAATGGTGACCAGTGACCACCACTTACAATCGACAAAAAGACAAGTGTTGAATGAATCCTAAAATGTTTGTTATTGATGTTATATCCATTCATATTCATGGATTTCAGACAAACAGTTCCTTCCTGATTTGAAGGACTTTGTGTATATCTATAGAGGACCTTTCTCATTCAAGATAATATTTTGATATGAACTGCTTAATGGAGCAGTTACTGTATCTTGAAATCAATGAACTGGCTTTGTATTTAAACATGATTATTGTGAATACATTTTATAGAAAAAAAAATTACACAAGAAAGCACTGACAGGGTGTAACTGGAAGGCTGCTTTATTGGTAATAAAAAGATTCGTGCTCAAATGAAGACAATCTTTCATATTCTTACCAAGTGGTTGTGCAACACACCTCATATTGTATCCTCTTTTTATTATGGTGTCAAATGATATCAACAGTTTGAAAAGCACTTTTTCATTTTTCAGCAAAAAGAAAAACAAAAATGCTTATAATAAACCATGCTAAAAAGAAAGCGTCCTATAATCAAATATTGATACAAAAATAAACTTCAGATGGAAACATAAATACAGAAGAAACAGACTATAGAAAGGCAAGCTGCTTTTTCACAAGCCAAGTGGGTGACACACATATCACTAAAACTGGATATTTTGAGTTAGCTGTTTTCTGATAACATCACACACTGTTGAATATTTATATGAGGTGGGGGGATGATCTCCGGCAGTTTTTCTGACTCCCTGAATTTTGTTGTGCTCACCCCATACCCCACCCTCCACAGTTTGGAAACACTGGTAGTTCTTTCTATTTTCTATTTTGTTCTCTTTTACATTGATGTGATATCATTTTCGGTGTGGAATTGACATCCAATTTTGCAGAAAAAGCAGAAAAAGGCACATGCCACTGAGTGTTACATTGGAAACAAATCATTCAACAGAAGAGGTGTGAGGATGAGAAGCAGGACTGTATCTGTTTACATGTGGTAATGTCTCCGAGTGTGTCCAGGGCAGTGGTCAGTCACAGCACTGTGAACTCAGAGAGTGAGAGATTGGACAGTACAAATGTGCTGGTAACATCCTTTCTTTATGAACAGGCTACAATCCATGACAAGCAGCTCCAGAAACATCGCATATGAGTTATTCCTGGAAACAACCAGTTTTAGACATCCACTCAATGTGTTGCACATATAAATCAAATGTGACAAACAGTGTTCTCCTGCTTTATGTATATACATATAGACATATATGTATACATGTATATATCTTTTGTATTATATAATATCTATATTCATTCATTTTCCGTCAACAAAGTGAAAAGTGTCTCAAAAAATCCAAAGGTAACAAATGTGACAAAGGGCATAGCTGGAAGCCATTCTATATTATTGTTGTTTTTTGATTATTAGTAGTAACATTTTTAAAATTTCATATTTACAAAAAACACAACAAAGCATGCCTGTAAAATAAAATAATATGATACAGTATTTATAGTTTCTCTCAAAAAGTTCGTTCTTTTTCAGCGATTGTGCCATTTACATCATAGCCTGCACTGTACATATACTATATGTTTTGTGTTTCTTTTTTGTCTTTTTCATTTTTATGTTTTCAAGTGTGAATGTACCATTCTAAAATGTTACATCCAAGATGAACATGGGTGAAGTTACTCACTCCTGTGGTTTTATTGGGAATGTATTTGGTTTCAGTGTGCAGCAGCCAAACTGATTCCGAGACCTCATTTTGTAAACAGACTTCAAATATCTTTACAGACAGGGGCTTCAGGTACAGGCAGTGTTAAACACACCAAATGGCATAAGTGGTGTGATGATGGACACAGGGTTTGAGCCCGCGCTGTCCATTAGAAATAGGACCATCACTCCTGTGTAGAAAAGAAATGGCAGGAACATCTAAGGAGGCAGTTATCTCTCCCCCATTGACAAGCCTTAGGTTTGAATGAAAACACCCACAGAGTATTTACACATAGCTGCATCTACATGAGGCCTGCTGATGGTTTAATCTCGGCAGGTTTCAGCTTTTCGACCTGCATTTCTGGCTAACTGTTTTGATGCGGGTATAGCATTTGAAAGCCTACAGTTTGTGAGATATGGTGCAAGCCTGGGTCAAACACCACACAGTGTTTTAGAGGTCCCACAGAAGCACAATGATACACTGACAGACATGGGACTTTCCACATCATGACACAGATCCCAGCGTCACTGCTGTTCTAATGGCAGTCAGTCTGAAACCCTGAAAGGAGAGGCCTTACATGTTTATTGGTCCACAATGTTTATTATTACCCATCCACCTCCCTGAAAGACCTGATCATGTCCATTAAGTCCATTTATCCGGCAGTCAAGACCACTAGCCCTTCATAACTATCCACTGTACGTACACACGAGGCACGACAAGGTTTGTCCTTGTGATAATTCTCCACTCACTTTGCTGTTTGGTATAACCACTGTCTCCTGTCTCTCTCACCTATCAAAACACCTTTTCTGAGAATGATTGCATCACAAGGAAATCAGAGAAGGACTCTGAGTTTTTTGTTTGTTTTTTGTCTAAAGCTGGCAACTCAAATTATCCAAAAGCACTACCAAACACACCAGTCACTTGAAAGTTTGAATGATAAAAATGAAATAAAATAAAATGTTTAAAAAGCATATAAAATGAATTATTAAAAAGTACAGTGTTGTTCACTTGCACTAAAGCTGAAACAAAAACATACATCCCACATGTGCCCCTTTGTCCAAAGAACACTAAAAAAGGGATACCTACTGGCAGACTCTGACCGGTGCCTGACATCATTCCTTGGCATAAAGAATTATCTCCCAATGCTGGAATATGGCCACAGGAATGTAAGTAAACAAAGAAGGATAAAGTCCCACAGTCAGTTAAAGTACATGGCCTTCAAATCTATGCGTCCTCAACATGAGGATACACATCTGTCTCACATGCATACACGCCACATTCTTTCTACAGAATATTCAGGGCAAAAACATTGCCGTTTGTGATGCACTGCAGACTGGGACTTTCAGTCTCTGAGTGCTTACATCCTTCATCTGTAAAAATGATACAGGACTGGATTCAAAGATCTATTCCTTTCAGGTCAAAAAACACAAGCAGAAACATTGACTCCTTTTCCCCAAAAATCTATATCAATAACCAGAATCTTTATCCTACCACTATATCACATAATTTTCCCAGTGGACAGCCTCAAATCTAAAGTCAAGCCACTGCTGTGGGCAGAAAATTAGTGTCTTGTGAACTATGATTACTCATGCATGACTCCTGATCAAAACATGCCTTCATGCAAGTCATTTCTATGCATTGAACGAGCACAATAATTATTTATTTGAAACTCAATCTGAGCAAGTCTCCTTCAGCCCAAGTCAACACAATGACTAATGACCCCTAACTGGTCAGTGTGAAAGCCCATGTAGAAAATACCTTCTTCAATGTCAGTATAACAAAGATGATGAAAGAACTAGTGACATGGGCTAAATGTCCTTCTTTTTTGCTGCTCAAAGAATGAGAAAATGCAAGTGTATTTAGCTAACAAATAAAAAAATCTTTGTCTACGGTTCCAGGTTTCCCTTGCCTCACTAGATTATTTTCCTAACTAATTTTACTTGGTTGATTATTGTAATTCTTTGTTGATGGCAAACTGTTTTAGACCCTCCTGTAGACTGCTTTGTCAGTTCATTGAGGATCTGTATGATCTGGTCGTGTAGCAGCAATATGCTGCGGTCCACGCTCGGTGGTGGCAGGGATATGCAGTTTCTCCAATCAATAAACATAGAATTCTGTGCCTTGGCAGTTGGTCCCCAAAGAAATATGTGTCATTGGCCAGCACACTGTGAGTTACTGTTTCTGCTTCTCATTACATGGTCTCTGGGCAGCAAAGTTCTTCAGTAAACTGATTGCATTTGGTTCAGCTGTCTAAGACGACATATGAAACCACACTGCCTCAATTGCATTTGAGTCTGTAAACAATTTTTTGTCCGTTTTGTTGTTATTACGTTCAAATATTCACTTTTCTATATTTGTTGGGTCAATATTTTTAGGCTCAGTGTCTGATATCACTGCGTTTAATAGTGTCATTAAACACTAACATTTAGATTCCCATTCATCTTTTTGGTTTTTGTCCTTCTCTCGGTTGTCATCCTGTTTCTCTTTGTCAGGTTTGGTTACACTGTCGTAAGAAGGAAGAGAGGCAGTAGAGGGTGTGCTCTCCTTCTTTTCCTGGTTTCCACCATTTTCAAGTTTGCTCGAAAAGATGCGCTTGAAGATGATTCCACGCCTGATGAGGTGGGCTCGATAAGCATTCTGGATAGTTCTGGCAGAGACATCTTCCTGTTTGCGGCGCAGGGTGGTGGTGATTGGTTCGTACGATACTTTGGAGGGGTTGGCTGCCACAAAACGCTCCTCCATCTGCTGCCTTAGCATGTCCAACTCACCACTGTCACCCAACACACGCTTTGTAAAAGCAAACAGGATGTCCAGGCAGTGAATGCGGTCACCACTGACCATTGGCATGTCCATGGCAATTAGTTCTATAGTGTTTGGCTTTGGCACACGCAGTGGGTGCTCTAATGCATCAGCAAAGTCAGACAGTTTAGCAAAAGTGATAAACTGAGAGGCAGTTGGATCAAATTTCTCCCAAATCTCATAAAATGTCTCAAAGTCGTCCTCACTGAGGGGATCTGCACTTTCCTCCGTCGCCACGCTGAAGTTCTCCAGAATGATGGCAATGTACATGTTAACAACAATAAGGAAAGAAATGATAATGTACATCACGAAAAAGAAGATTCCCACTGATGGATTTCCACAGTCACCTTTAACAGAAGTACCGGGATTCTCCAGGTTAGGGTCACAGTCGGGTGGGTAATTAAGGATGGGTAATAACAAACCATCCCAACCGGCAGATGTAGTAATCATGAACAAGATGATCATACTGTTGCCAAATGTTTCAAAGTTATACAAGTCATCTATTCCTGCTCCATGCTTCACATAGCCAAAGTTAGACATGCCAAAGATTGAGAAGATGAACATGACCAGAAAGAGGAGCAGACCAATGTTGAACAGAGCGGGCAGTGACATCATCAGAGCAAAGAGTAGGGTTCGGATTCCTTTGGCTCCTTTAATGAGACGAAGAATACGACCAATACGAGCTAAACGGATCACCCTGAACAGGGTCGGAGACACAAAGTACTTCTCAATCAGGTCTGCGAGGAACATACCTGTGACAGGCAGAAAAAGAAGAATCACTATTTGTACATTTCTCTCATTGTATGGGCATAAATTTATGGATTCATTTTAACATCACTAACCAACAATAGACAGGATGACAACCACCACATCAAAAATATTCCAGCCATTAGTAAAATAGTAATGGCGAAGAGCAAAGAGTTTGAGCAGGAACTCCATTGTAAAGACTACAATGAAGATGAAGTTGACCCAGTACAGGACCATCTCTGTTTCATCGGACTGATCGTCTGTTTCCACCATCATAGTTACCATGTTGAGGCAAATGAGGATCATGATGGAGATGTCAAAGACCTGCTGTGTCACAAAGTCAAACACCATCCCCTGGATCTTGTTCTACAGAAGGATTCAAATACATTAGCACTGGTACACTGGAACAATCTTAACCCAGTAATCAACAGTTAAATCACCTGCGGTCGTGGAATAGGTTTTTGAGGCTTTTTGGAGCCCAATTTTTTCATGGCATTATAATATTTTTTCTGTTCCTCTGTCATAAAGATATCCTGACCTCCAAAGTAAAGGGACAAAACAAGATTTGGTCATAATCTGTCTCACAGTACAATCAAATATGAAATTATTTAGTTGAATATATCTTATCTTTTTCTTCTGTTGGTTGAAATTGTCAATGATCACACCAATGAACAGGTTGAGAGTGAAGAAGGAGCCAAAAATGATGAAAATGACAAAATAGATGTACATATAAATGTTGACTTCATAGTCCGGCTGCTCTTCCACCTGAAAGAGATGAGGCATGGCATTACTGTCAGTAGTAGCATAAAGAGTAATAAAAATACTATAAAAGTACATACATTTCTAGAATCAACAGCTGCATACATGATGTCCATCCATCCCTTAAATGTTGCCTGTAAAAAACCAAACAAAAAAAAACATTTAAAACAGGCAAACTAGTCAAAATTAATGGTAAAGAAGAGTACTCAAACTAAAATCAACACCTTTTCAGCATGTGGTACAGCTTGTGCACAGAAACAAAGAAACAGGCATGGAGACACACAGAAAACACAAATGAATGACACATATATACCACAGTGGACTTTAAATGGAGAAATGAAGGCAAATAGGGAAATATTTAACATGCATGCACCATATACAGAATGGAGACAGGCAAACGCCAGCAGCTAATGTCTCACCACTTGTAGGAGGGCGAGGTATCCAGCTCCCACATTGTCAAAGTTGATCTTGACATTCTTCCACCGGACCTCCGAGAAATTATTTCTGATAAGCTCCTCACATTGTGTTTTGTTATTGACGATATCAACAGGAAAGTACTCCTCTGATGTTTCATTGAAACAAAAGTAGTACTTGCCCGCAAACAGATTGACCCCCATTATACTGAAAATCAGCCAAAAGATGAGGCACACCAGCAACACATTCATAATGGAAGGGATGGCACCCACCAAGGCGTTGACTACCACCTAGACCAAACGAGGAAAGAGAAGACAAGAGACTGTGAGAACCTATAAACCAGGTGATGTGCTTCAGCCCTATATCACGACATAGTGCTATGGCATCACACTGTAATCTATCCAGATTTTTTCTATCTATCATTTTGTCTATAAAAAGAGTGACACACATCACCCAGATGTGTACTCTGTAGCTAGGGAGCAGTCTGTTCACTTTTTATTAGAGAAGTAGTGAAAGGACTGAACACGCTCTTTGATCTTTCAGATATTGGACCAGCTGACATGTATAGACAGTATATATGTGTTAAAATCTGGCAGAAATCTGTAGTTGTAAAGGAATTATTACAGTGTAATACAGTAGAAATCAATCAAAAAGATTTGAATTTATTTAATCTGAACAATTTATTTATTTCCTTTTGGGAATTAATAAAACAAATTATGATTCTTTAACATTAATCTTTTCAAAAAGACATTTATCTTGAGGCAGACTTGAACAAAAAAGTTTCTACCCGCAGAGTCATTTATCAATCAGTCTTTCAGTCTCAATCTAGAACCGTCCTATTTGTACTAGTATACCATCCTGCCAAAGCACTCACTACTCACACTTTATCATTGTCTAATACTATGTTAGATTTGATTACCATAGCACAATGAAGTGACCTAGATTAAAAACAATTGCAGTAAAAATATTTTGCCCTCCCCACCCACAAAACGTCACATTTCTAGCCTTCCAATGTGATTTCCCTGAGGTCATTTTATATGCAGTAATCATAAGCTCAGCTCACTACCAGTGTTAGGCAGGCCGAGCAGCAGCTCGCAGGCACACAGCTGAGCATGCATGTCTTTGGCAGACTCTTTTGTGGAGCCATATTCCCTCCTCATAACAGACAGGCAGGAGCTAGAGAGCAGGACTCTCTTAGCAAGTACACAGCCTTCATTCACACATCCACTTAAATAAACCATAAATTACAGATAATTCCTCTCTGATGAGTTCATAGATTTGGATTGAATTATATCCTGAGCAAAGGCTGTTTTACTCACTAAGAGAAAGACTAAGCTCCACTGGGTCAAATTGAACCACTTTAAAGACTCAGATTAATGCAGAAATAGGTCATGCTATGTGGAAAGCATTCTCAGAAAGAGGGAAAATGGCTTTCAAAAATGCAAAATGTGCATCGGCAGTTATACTACATGCGTGTTACATGACACTGTGCAATCTCAAGAACCGCTCAAATAAATAAATAAATAAACAGAGTAATGAGTGGGTATGGATATAATGACAGAGGAGATAACTGAAGTGTCAATAATTTGAGCCAATTTGTTTTCTTTTACAAATATCAAAAATACTGTAGAAATGCAGCCCAACTGGTCTTTAGAAAGAAGTATATCTATTGTACTGTTTAAAAAAAGCATGGAAAATATTAGTATTTTTATTAGTATATAGTATTTCCTTTTCATTTTCGATAACTAGAATAAAAAAAATGTTCCTGAGCTCTCTTCAGTTTTAAAAAAATTGTCTCAAACTCTCTGTCATCTCTCCATCAAACTCTGTTTATTTACTTATTGCTTTGACCTTTATTTATCTCTACTCAGTTCAAAGAAAATGGCAATTCAATTAATGAACATAAACATTATAGTATAACTGATACAGCAGGATCAAGTCCCTCTCTATCCCTTTGGTAAGACTGGGCCACTCTTACCTCGTACTTACGCCCCACAGGGGGAGGACATTCATAGGGCAGACATTTACTAAAGCCCCATAATAAAACAGGTATTTATTTATTTCTAGCATTTCAAAACCCAAAAAGACATGGGTTCAAATATTAATCATAGATGTAAAATAAAACCTTTATCATCCATAACGCCTATCCAGGGCCTAAAATCATTGATGTCTGCTCCATGCAATGGCATCACTTTTAGTCACTGGATATCTGCATATGAATGTGGCTTCAATACGTATAATGACACAAGCCCTCATCTCCTGCTAGCATGAGAGTTTTGGTACTACATACACAAGGGCATTGTGTATAAAGACAACTGTTGTATTGTCTATGGGCCGTCTACAGTTTGAGTGGGCAGTTGTTGCCTCCCATTTTCACGTCCTGTGGGAGTGGAAGGCAACAGGAAGCCAGGGCCTGCTGTATGCTCTGTGTGTGCCATGGCATGACAGCTATAATGTGTTGTGGGAAATGGCAGCTTTTCATATTTGCTAAGCTTCTGCCAGCAAAAGGAAATGTCCAGTCATATTACATAAACCATCAAACCATCTCTTTTTTGTGGAAAGCAGACGTTAACCTTGCCACCAAAGGCTTCCAGCAGCTCTGCTAGTCTAATGCTGAATTGTAAAACACTATACATGGCAGAAGCTTGACAAATATTTTTCTCCCAAAGCCACACCACTGTAAGTGTGTGGTTTCTGACTGAGTATTTGATGCAGGAAGATCCTGGACAAGCAGGAGAATTGTGAGACCCTCTCTTGGCCCGTCCTAGCCGAACCAGGTTGATGGCAGGGAGCAGTGGAGGGTACAGGGTGAGGAGGAGGGGAGAGGAGGATGGGAGAGTGCTGCTGCACATGGGGGCTGATTGAAGGAGGTGAAGAAAAGCTCAAACTAGAAGACAAGGCAATCAGTCCAAGAACAGAGAGAAGGACAGGGATCCAAATGTTTGAAGGGATAGAGAAAGAGACAGAAAGGCTACAATGACAACAACCAGGTGCAACCTAACACTACCGCCAGTCACAGGGACGACCAATCAAATGTCTGTGGAAAGTGATGGTTGAAACAACTGTATATCTACATACATGTTTTACTGTTAACTATGAAACTGAGTCCTCTGATGGACTCTAACTAAGAAGATTGGTGTTTTGGCGCTGCCTGGTTCCTGCTGGTTGTTCTCTACGTCAGATGCAGTGAGGGATGAGTGAGAGCTGAGGAGAGGGTTATGGGAGCAGAGGGCATGTGAAGAGAGGGGGCACTCATTTGAAAGCAGTGGTTGACAATCAGCTAATTGTTGATTTGAATGCTCTATGAGATGGCATGTAAGTTTGATTAGCTTTGACCAATTTCACACTGACTTTGGCCAATCAAGAGGAGGAAAATAGAATGATCAGAACTCCTTATTTGTCAGTATTGTGATGAGGCAGCTTTGTGTAAAGAATTATGGAAATATGTTGGATATGCTTTTAAGTGTAAATTTAACTCTGAGTATCCAATGTTCAATTTGTCAGAGGTAATTTAACATAAGTCAGTCCCCAGCTGCATCATGACTTATTGTTTAGCTCTTACAGAGGCATGGTACGACATTGCGCATGGAAAGGTGACTTTTAGGCTTTCATTTGGTTGTTTAGAAAAAATACTCCAACAGATTGGAGTTTTTTGTCCTGAGGTTGTTTTAAATCAGTTCTAGCATGCTTTAAACTGTTGAATGGGCATGCGGAAGGATCAGCTGCTTAGCTTTGGATCTTACCCTCATCCCTTCAAAACGTGACAAGGCTCTGAGGGGTCTCAAGGCCCTTAGTGTCCTGAGTGATTTAATGGGCCCTAGATCGGAGTAGCCCAGCGCATTAGCTACAAGGCTGACTATAGACACCTACACAAAAACAGAGAAGCAAAAGAGGTTCCAAACTGTTAGAAGTGAGGTTCACTAAGGAAGAGCCGGCCCTGGCATAGGCGGAGAGTTGTTGACATACACACATAAATCTATGCATGTATATGCATGTATAATATTGCATTTATACATGTATATACACCAAGAGAGAAGGTCAATGTTTAGTATAGGTTTTATGTGCGTAGTAATTTTAGTTGCAGGGATTATTTTTTCTGTTATTTGGGGAAGTTGACAAGATGGGGAAGTCCATTGTACCTGTAAAGAAACTGGTGGTTGAAAGAGAGAGAGGAGACATTATAGAGTTTAAATTAGGCAGAGTGCTACAAGATTTCGTTCAGATACAAGCAGAAGGGTTGGGAGAGCAAGAGGAGGAGGAGTTCAGGGAGAAGGGAAGTGGTTACCCTGTAGAAGCTGATAAAAACCCAACAGACTTGAGAGCCTTACCCTTGCCCCTCTAACAATGTCTCTCCATGTCGCTCTTGGGCTGAGGCATAAATTCCCATATAATTTAAGACAGACAAACTAATGGAACCTAAGAGAAAGAATACAGGTAAACATGTACAAGTCTGTCATTTTATCATTAACTTATATTAAACATAAATTCACAGCATTAGAGTGAAAGGGGGCTACGTTCACATAAAACACACACAAGAAAGGAGGTGGAGGTTAGGAGCAGACCAGTTATGGTTAAGAGTAAAAGCACTGGATGGCACTGAAAGGACAGAATTACACATTGTACAGTGAACTTACACACGGGTACCAAGGATTAACACACAATCGCTAAGAAACTGGCACAAGCCACCGAAGACACAATTTTTTTAAGCAAATTATTTAGATTTAGTTTTGAATGGATTTTAGCCTAAAATGTTACACAGTAAGTTTTAATATGGATGAATATAGTTTTAGGCACATTTTACACTAGGACAGTTTGCCAGTTTCTTCCTTATAAATAAGTAAGATTAACAACGGTGAACACATGTGAAGGCACCTTGAACCAGCCACTGACACCAACTCGTCAAACTCACCGCAAAAAGTCCACAACATTCAAAGCTTACCAAAGTCACGGAGGGAGGATTACCCGAGCAAAATCTTAATTTGGACTGTAAATGCTGTATGTAGAAGGCCCAATTTCAAAGATGTCATAGATCATTAAGTACATAATACATAATGGATTAGTGGCAGTAAGTTTTAACAAAGCAAATTATTGCAAGTACTTAAGTAATTTTTTAGGAGTTTTATAAAATTGTATCTATATAAAGAATTGTCCCGTGTCCACATCTGTCTGACACAACAAATGTGGGAAGAACTGAGTCAAATAGAGATTTTGCCTGGATCTAGACAGTTTGGGGTTAGTGTCACCTTTAGCCTGACCCCCAGACGTGCCCCCTTTGGGGAACCCGGCCTCTGGCCCCTGCTGAGCCAGCTGTGCAGTAGTGGCCTCAGTGCTGTAAGGTCCGTCTCATTGAGCTCTGCAAGGCAAGGCCAGTGACATCTGATGCTGTGGTCCCATGAAGACGACAGCACAAACCAAAGCCAAATGAAACAAACTAAAATCAAAAGAAAGAAACAGAACAATGACATAATCTGAGTGGAAAAGAAAGATGAGTGAAGAATGACAACTTTCAACTAACTAACCTAATTTTGAGATATATATATTCAAACAATTTAAACATGAACAGAAAAGAAGATAGGAAAATAAACCAAAAGGGATGAAAACACAGGCTGGTCTAATGATGGTGCCCCGTTTTGACAGAGTCAGATCACAACACAAGACGCAGAGGCCACAGCACAAGCCAAACTCACCACCAACAGGTTTTCAGAGGGGCGTTTGTGAAGACCAAACTTACCGCCAACCGCCTGTCACCACCATCATTACATCTCAGCACAATCTCAACACTTTCTGGGTCATACTTTCAAAAGGTGTAGGAGGAGGACAAAGGGGGGAGAAAGAAGGGAAGTCAATCTGTTCACAGCTTAGCAAATGTGCCACAAGAGGCAACACTCCTACAGCAGGGCAGTCTGCAATGGCATTGTCTCACTAAATATAATTTATGTTGTTTAAGAGTAATGATACTAGTGTTTTAATTATTGCATTTGATTTATTACTTTTTCTGGAACAAAAATTGCCTCATAAAAAGTCTAATAAATGTATGTAAATCATAGACCGTATAAAGAAGTGGACTAAGGGAGTGTGACGTCACCCATAGCATTCAGCTCCACTCAAATGAAGCTCACTATGCTAACAGTTAAAAGAGCGATTTTAGAGCTAGGCTCTATATTATGAATAGGAAATTTTTAACCCCAAAATAGTGCGAAAAAACCACCAGGATCATCCAGGGTGGGTTAATGCGAACATTTTCAGACAAAAATGAGAAAGCCCACTGCAGTAGTTACAGAGAGAGGGGCCACAATATTGCAAAGTAAGCCAGGGGTCAGAAGGAGACAGATGTGCCTGCATGCGAGCCTCTTATTTGAAACATGGCAGCTAGCACATTAGCTATGTCCATTTATATATACAGTCTATGATCTAAATATGCAAAGATACACTTCATATTACCATTTAGATATGCAATATCTACTAATAGTTAAAATCTGTCATCTTTTCTGAAGTAATGGCAACCCATTGATATGGATCCATTTATAAAATATTGGCTGACAGTGGACACTGCGGAGAGGTGGTGGTTAAATTAAGCTGAAAGCCAGAAGTCTAGAGCATTCTATTTTTTCCTAATTACTGACAGATAGCAAGTGAACAATTAAAATAAAATATAATATAATGAATTATCCAGTCCTTGTGAATTGAAGTAGATAAGAATGTTTATACTAAATAATGATATAGTAAATATTAAGAATTCAATATGAATTATAGTAATTGAAAAAAAAATTTAATGATGAGGGAAAAGAAGGAATGCTCCTGTATCTGTGCTTTCATATTTTATGACAAAGACAAGGAGCAGAAAAGTACAAGGAGAAAGGACAAAAGGCACATATCAAACATTGTATAGGGCAAAGAAACAGTAACTGCTGCATCTGCTCTGGGTATGACTTGAATATGATTTGGCTATAGCTGCTAGGATTGTTTTATTTACAGTAATGTAAATGACTATTTGGCTTTTCATGTATAGAATTTGAAGTAACCACACATTCAAGTATCCCAGAGTTGTAGATTTGTGAGGCAGATAAAAACTGCTGCTTGATGGACCTTAAATGTGACAGAGGCATGTTTGCACTTAACAGGAACAGACATTGTGGTCTTGCAAAACACAGTCCCTGTAATCTTGTCCAATTGTAAAATTGTTTTTAAACACGCCACAACACTCACTTCCCATCATGTAGCAGAAACTATAACCTGATCTTTCACAGCTATGCCACACCCAACAGAAAACCATTTGAACATGTTTATATTTCTGACAATAGAATTTATCTTAACTTAGCTTTGTGTGGTATTGACATATCTTAGAGACAGAACCAATAAAATATTAATTTGATTCTGGTAATAAATAATTTAGTATCTAGGCCAGTGTTTGGTGTAATAGTTTTTGCTGTTGGGTTGTGGTTTTGCAGACGTCCTAATAAAATCCTCTTATTCTATTCAAAAACTATTCAACAATCAAACACAAATATATTGAAAGAATAGTCAAACTTACATCAACAATGAAGAAGTCCAGCCAACACCAGGCATTGGTGAAGTACTTCACAAACCCATAGGCTACCCATTTGAGCAACATCTCCAGGATGAATATGTAGGTGAACACCTTGTCAGCGTACTCCAAAATAGTTCGAACGGTCTTCCTCTGTTCAATGTACACATCCTCAAAGGCCTGTAGAAGAGCATACATCAGCCACAAATGGACTGGGAAACACAAAAAATAGTATAAGATGTATTACTGTGCTAATTAAATTGAAAACAGCAGAGAGGATCTGCAAAGAATCATTTTCAAAATAAGCTGCTGCCCAATGAAAGATTATCAATACCTGCAAGGTTAATGTAAATGAAGTGTAACCTCCTTTATTTAGTAGGGTATGACATGCTTCAAACCCTCCAAGAATATATATACAATTTGATCATTTTTACAGTCCATTACTCACAGGTCCAACTGAGCCCTCCCCCAACAGAGCTGCTGAAGTGACTGCACCACTGGGAACATCTCCCCATAAAACTGCCCCATATGATGTCCTATACTTCTATCAGAACGAATTTTACTGTAAACTTAGGTTCCCTAAATATTATGTTTCTCACCAGGGCACCACTACTGAGAAGGATCATGAAGATGATGAGGGTCTCAAACCAGTTGTGTTCGACAATCAGGTAACATGTTTTCCTCAGGAACCACCAGCTCTTCCCCCAGCCCATTGTGATGTCCACATCGCAGCACTTGTATTTGGCCACACACGCTGCAGATACAAAGAAGGGAGCATTTTAATTACTTTTAATTTCAAATCAAATGGATTAACACTGTACTGTATCATGCAATGGCAGATGTTTAGCAATGATTATGACAGTATTTCTATAATAAATGTCAAAATATCAAAGCTTTTAAGTGAAATATAACAAGAGAACAATACAACTTTGAGTATGCTCATGATGAGGGAGCGATGTTACATTGTGGTTAAAAACTTGATTTAGCATATGTCCCTTTTAAATTCACAAATGCTGAACAGAATCATTTAGATTAGATACAATTCATCCACACCAAACAATCAGCACAATCTTACAATCCACTGTCAGTATAATGAGTGGAATAAAACCAGCAGCCTCACCATCTGTCCAGCATGGCTCAGGTTCCATGTACTCCTCTACCGTTTCCACAACAACTACTTCCTCCACATCTGGCTTTATATCTATGGTGCTGCCCTCCGATGAACTGGTGTCATCGAGCTGTAGTGACAAAGACGCATTAGTTACAATGGCAGTCAACATCTTCTCATGTTTACTTAGAATCTCAGAATCTTATTTGAGTAACTGTAAAAAAAATGGACTGTTTGTTTAAAATTTAACTGGGTAATCAAAAAATATTTATTATAGTACCCAGCATGTGTATGAGCAAAATCCTCATAATGTTACCTTAACTATATAATTTTTGAACAGTTTTTACTACTGTAATTAATACGGTGTGTTGGGCACTATAACATAGAAAATGCATGTACAAGAGTTAGAACAACAGGAAAATGGCCTCACTAATTATTCTTCTTTATAGACCTAATAGAGGGAAAAGACTGAAGTGGTAGAAATGCCTCACACTACATCTACATGAACACTGAAATGGAATATCAAGTGTCCGACCATCTGCCCAGACTCAAAGTCTTTTAAATGCACTCTGCAAAACTACAAGCATCAGCAGATATCCATTTCATCTGCACAGCCTGTCTGTCTTTGTAGATGACTCTGTTGACTAATGGAGGCCTGTTAGAGTCTACACAGAAGAAAAGCCAGCCACACCCACGATCTGGCAGGTCAGAGGAGGATAATGCACTACACTCCAGCTGGCTCAATACAGTTTTTTAATCATATATTTAATTAATAATATATAATACTGACCCTGGACAAATATAGTACATGTACAAGTATTTAATCAGCTGACTTAAAGGGCCCATATTACGCTATTTTCTGATCTATGTTATAATGTTGTTTCCTCATCACCTGGTGTGTTTTTTTTTTTTTTATTCACACGTTTAACACAAATCCTGCACATTTAGGCAGGATCTCTCAAACATAAAACACTCTGTTCCTCCTTGTGATGTCATATGGTAATATAGAAATTGCTACACTGTGTTTTTAAACTCCATACAGCTTCACTCAAATGATCTGGAAAATTCAGATCAGAAATTTCCAATCTCTACTTAACAAAAGATAAAAGAAGTTGTTAACTCATTATCTATCACTACATCACATGACATCAGAAGGTGAAACAGAGCACTTTGAGCAAGAGAGATGTAAACAATAAAAATAATAAAGGATTACCCACACAACTCAAGGTATGTTTTTGATGAGATAACAACTTTCTAACATTGCTTAAAGCTCACAAAAGTCAATTTTGCTTAATATAGGACCTCTAAACACACTTCAAAAATAATACAGCTCACAATAAAACTATTGGAACAGCAAGGGCAATATGTATAATTCTGCACAGACCTAGAAGACCCACCTCTTTACTGTTTTCGATGTCTGACTCGCTGCTGAAGTCCTCTGTATTGAGATTCTCGAAGTCTGACTCTCCCACAGCAATGGGGACACAGACAGTCAGGTTTGGGTTGTGGATGAACGACATGTGGGCATCGTCCAGCACATACTTGCCAACGCTGCTACCAATGCCACTGGTCGTCCCATTACCATTCTTAGTGTAATCCAGGTCTCGGTTGATGTCTACTCCAGTGTGATTAGCAATGCAGTTCACTTTATTTCCATACATGTCTTCCAGTGGTTTTTGCTCATCCTCCATAAGGGGTTTTCTTAATAAACTGGCCATCAGAATTCGCATCTTTGCTTTAAACCAGGCAATTCCTTTCTTGATACGCATGACTGAAATCTGTAGGTTGTTTGGTTCCCCATCATCATCTGTGGCTGCTAAATTGTCAGCACTGAATGAGCTCAGCAGCAAGGCAAGAAACAAGTTCAACACCTAGAAAGGAGAGATAAAAAAAATGTTATTTCACTCACCCAAATATTACAGACTATTTGAAATGCATATTTCACCACACTCACCACTAAATTACCGATGACCATGACCATCATAAAGACAATGAGGCACATCGCCTGACCAGCGACCTCCATGCAGTCCCACATGGTCTCAATCCACTCTCCACACAATACCCGGAAGACGATCAAAAATGAATGGAAGAAGTCATTCATGTGCCAGCGGGGCAGCTCGCAGTCCAGGGCAATCTTACACACACAGTCTTTGTAGCTTTTGCCAAACAGCTGCATTCCCACCACAGCAAAGATGAAGACAATAATGGCCAGCACCAAGGTGAGGTTTCCCAAGGCTCCCACTGAGTTACCAATAATTTTGATCAGCATGTTTAGGGTGGGCCATGATTTAGCCAGCTTAAATACTCTCAGCTATAGGAGAAACACAGAAACAAATATAGAATCAGCTTGAAGCTTCACTGAGTAGCTTCTTTCTTGATCCTCTATATTTAGTCATGGAGTTTTTGACACCTCTCCAGACTGAGTTTGGACTGGCATCTATTATGGTCCTAGGATCAGTTGTTGCTAGGCAACCTGGAATCTGACCAGCCATGTTTTCTCAGATAGCAACCAGACAGGTGGGTGCCTGTCCATGGGTCCATTGGATTATTTGTTTGCTTGATTCTATTTTATAAGTTATTGTAGTAGGCTAATTGGTGGGGTACAAACAACATGTATTTGGCTAAGCTAGCAAACGTCATGGAGCAATGTTAGCTAGCTAGCTAGAGGTTCAGTAAAATTAGTAGAAAGAAATAAGAAGCTAAGCATCATAGATTATGGCAAGCAGGCAACGTTAATAATTTACACTGTGAGGTATTTAAATGGCAATTATAAACAACTTAAACATGTATAAGGTTAGGTTAAGTTTATTTAAAAAGAAGATTTACCAAACGGAATGACCGCAGGACTGAGAGACCCTCGACGTCAGCCAGAGCCAGCTCTACTAAACTCAGCGTCACAATGAACCCGTCAAAGCAGTTCCATGCCTCTTGGAAGTAATAATACGGATCCATGGCCACGAGTTTAAAGAGCATCTCCCCGGCAAAGATCCCCGTGAACACCTGGCAAACAGGACACAGGACATGGCATTGTCTAGGTGAGCAGATTGTGGGTGAGCATTCACTCACTCTCATGCACGAAAACAATCAACCAAGTAACAGACTACACTTTGAATATCAAAATGGTATTTGGTTTGTGACATTCTGTTTTCAGAGTGTAGAAATGCATTATACAAGACTAGTAAGATTACCCAAAGCTGGGCAAATTCATTATAAAAAGCAGTTAATATTTTTTTTGTGGTGATATTATGAGCAGAGCCAAGACACGAATTGTGCAAGGTCTATGAAGTGAAGTTCTATTGCATACAGCAAGCAGCAGTATTTTTCTGTAGCACAGAAGTTGCAAATGAACAATTCCCCATATGTGACATAAATTATGCTAGACCCAATGACATTTTGTCTCAGCTTTCCTAAAATACTACATTGAAAATGGTCAGGTTGAGTTATCTGTGCAGTGATTCAAGGCACCATTTCAGAGCCCTCATCGATCAAGCTCCATGAAATATTAATGTAAGCCTCCCACCAATCAGCCAACCGGTGAGACTGGTCCCTCTGTAGCCTTACTCAACCAGAAGAGAAAAACATGTGACAATGAAAAAGACAGAAAACGTGTGCAACAAACATGACAAGTGCATCACAAGAAACAACACACAATACACAGATGAATAATGCGCTTTCTTCTTTCAAATCTCTGAAAGAGTTGACAGTTGTTCCCAAAATATCTCCAAAGGTCACCTATTAAGCATACAAGCCTTTTTCTTCATTTTATTAAAACAGATTAAATTCCCCAATGTTTCAAAGTGAGGACTAAAGAGGACTAGAGACTTAGTGCCAGATTTTCAGGTGACATTTCAAGATACATGCTACAAGATACATTGAAAATACTTATTACATAACGACACAGACATAATAAACACTAAGATAACCTACTCACCAGATTGCCCACCGACAGCATATCTTCAAAGTCAGTGGTCATCGGGTAATGCTCCATTGCCATGAAGAGGGTGTTGAGAACAATACAAATAGTAATGGCTAAATCCACAAAGGGGTCCATCACTATAAGGTTCACAATCTCCTTGATCTTGATCCACATAGGGGAGCACTCCCAGATCAGGAAAGTGTTAGCAAACTTATACCAGCAAGGGGGACACTTGCGCTGAGACTCCTCCAGTTCTGAAGACATAGTGTGGATCAGTTGTTAAAATCAAACATAATTACATGCCAAAGAAATATGCATGCAATGGTAGTAAAATAATTTAATGCATTGTATGTATCTGGTACTTGTTGGATATGCAAAGCAAATAAGCAGGAAATTCATGTCAAACTTCAATCAATGATAGCAGCCCTAGTTAAAGAATAATAATGAGAGAGAGCAGGTTAAATAGCTGGGTTAAATGGCAGTACCCTCCACTAGTGTGACGCTCATGATACTGTTGGCCCGCTCTTTCCGCCCAAAGGAGGTATTGAGCTGGTCCACAGACACCATCAGGGAGCCCGACAGCTTCTTCTTCACCTCAACCTCAGTAGTGGGCTGTCAGGAGGAGAGGAAGAATCAAGCACCCATGGAGACGACATGAACAGCACCACCGGTGGCCGGCAGAGGGAAGTGCACAACAGCATTGGCAGGAAAAAGTAGTTGAGGATCAGATTGTTCAGAATTAGAATTAGGAACAGGACATTTTTCAATAATTTCTATTTCAATGCTGGTTTCAAGGAAGATGTGTGTATGCTGTAAATGCATGCAGGTATCAGCCAAAGTGGGAGCAGTGGTTTAGGGCCTAATTGTGTTTGAATGTAATTAGCTCATCCAGATTAAATCAGACATGAGATTTTGTGCAAGGAGAGCTGTTTTGCTTAATGCATCTTCAGTCCTGTCATGCAATAATGGAGGCTTTGCTGCCATTGCAATATAATTATTAGGTCAAAACTAGTTTGTAAAATATCTCCCAATTCTGGCCATTTTAACATGTATTAAAATCACATTACTTTATCTTCCTAATTTGAAACCATACAATTTATATTGCAACAATAGAGTCAAGTTCATATGAGGCAGATAATTCAGATTCATTCATTTGACATGCACAAGCATGCTCCAAGTCAAAGAGAAGGAGAGAAAATTACAAACACCATAGTTTAAGATCTACTGCTACTACAGGTTATCATGCTTCATGTTATTTAGGTTCTAAATCTACCATGCTAACTACAAAGAGGACAGACTAGTTCATTAATGTAGACCAGGGGGAGTTTGAGAGACAGAGAAAGGTAGACAGACAAGGACAGCAGCCCTCCTTCTTAACTAAGTGTTGTTATCAGATGGTGCCATCTCTATGTTTGGGGGGTATTAGCTCTGTTTTATGTAAATATATATGTGTACTGATCCCCTCTGTTTCCTCTGCCTCCTACTGTAGATCTACCCACTCAGGCTAGCAGAGGACCGGGTGCCTGTATGGAGGAGGAACACATCAACACACTGGACCATGTAAACCCTTCAGATTAGCTGTTTGAAAACAGACATTGAAATATTGTGCAAACACACATTTCCTAAAGATTCCTGAAAGATTGTCTATATTGTTATAGACAAAGATCCAATGATTATCCTGATTAATAGCTACTGTTAAAATATTAAGTAATATATTAATATATTAGGAACAGTATTAAACAGAACATGTACATGAACCATCAACAAAAGAATGCTGGAAGTCACTGACAGACACAGTTTGGACTAAAATATCTTATGGGGTTAGCTAGTAGTCTGCTCCTATTTAAATTTATTTGTTTCTCCATCCTTTGCCTATTCGGAGGGCAGCATACACTGCAGGGGCTGGGGGAGGGAAGGCGCGAGCGCTTAGCCAAGAGATACATACGAAACTTGCAAGATGACAGAGTAGAAGATAGAATCAGAGAGAGGTTCGGGCGGTAGGGGGCCATGCCTAGATAGGTCTACTCATTGACTTCCTTACACTGTCATCAGAATCTGCCTTATCTATTTTCACCTCAGGCAGAAGGCGTCCACCGGGCCCAGGGCCGATGAGGGACACCACGCCGTTGCAGTCGACCGTGCTATTCCTCTTGCCATGAAAGCCAGTGTAGCTGTTCCGTCTGTATGGGCTGAACAAGGACCCCCTCCTCTCCTCACACTCCTCCACTGTGCTGTGCTCATCATCGGCAAACTCATTCTCCGAGCCCACGTCCTTACTGCGGCCCTTGAAGCTGAAGATGCTGCTCTTACTGTTGTGTCTGGATAGGAAAGGTGAGCCTGGGATGCTGAGGAGTGACTAAAGAAAAGAGGGTGCACATAAATTATCATTAATCTTGCCATCATTTGTGTTCTGTTTATCACATCTAGCGGTCAAGGGGAAAAAAGCCAGCTTGTGTGGGGTATGTGAAATTACTTGCAACCAACCCAGTTTTCCCTAAGGAGGTCTTTCTGCTGTAGTGGTCATGTGATCTGTCATATGAGGGGAAATTCATAATTAGGTCAGAGATATCCTTTTGCTGTCAAGGTCAAACTGGCAGGACAGGGAATCAGGTTTGTACCACTCTTACACCAACAAGACCATGAGTCATGAGAACAGCCATCTGAGCTGCTGTAATTATTGATCCATGTATTACCATCTATTACTGGAGCTGCTCACAACAAATAGCTAAACAAAGGTGGCCTTATCAAAGCTGTCAGCTGGTTGTTTTCAAATTCATAATGTCAGATGGGGGCAAGGGCTAGATTTGATTTTATTGTACTTTGCCATAAAATATCCATAAGATAAATGTACTGTTGAATCTGATCATTTCTATTACTGACTAGATCTTAGAATTCACTATATTACAACAAAAATCTGCATTTTAACAATATTCTTTTTTAACAATTCATTTAACAATATTTTAACAATATTGATTTTAGTTCTTCCCCATCTGCACCTGAAAACCTGAAACATGGCTATGGGCTAATGCCATTATACATTTTAAAGCATCTTACTCTGAACACTAAATGAATGTTTGGGAATTGAACATAAGTGACTCAAAACTACATCAAACAGTTTTCGTGTTCTTACTTGGTTCATAATGGAAGACTTTCGACCAAGGCGGTTATCAGGGAACCGGAAGCGACTTCTTTTGCTGCCGTCATCCGACTCAGATTTGACAAACTTCTCACTGTCACCTTTCTCTTTCTCCTGCTCTTTCTGACGCCACTTCTTCTTACGATTGCGGCGTTCTTTGGCACTCTTGGAGCTAAGTTTTGACATCTCTGAAGAACTGCATGATAGATGCCCCCCTCCATCGTCTTCTACTGCATCCTCTGAAACTGTACCCGCAGAGGTTGCCATAGCAGCAGTCTAGAAAAAACAGAAATCCAGTAAATGATATAACAATCGTGAGAGTGTTTAAAGTAAAAGGTCCTGATGGCTTACTTGGGCTTCTTCCTGTTGTTTTTTGAGCTGCTCCAGCATAGCTTTAAATTCCTCTTCTTTTTGTTGCGCCTCTTCCATTGTGGCCTGGTTCTGCTCCTCATAGGCCATAGCAACCACAGCCAGAATGAGATTGACCAAATAGAAGGAGCCCACAAAGATGACCAGCACAAAGAAGATCATGTATGTTTTCCCAGCAGCTCTCAGGGTCTGTTTAGGGGAATAAAATACAGAGTGAGTGACCTCTGAAGTATGACCCTAAACTGTGCCAAGCTCAGCATCAGCCTAGTCACAGAATGACTCATCACAACAAAGTTGTCAGCTCATTTGGCATTTTTGAAGATAAAACTTCAATTCAGCAGAACTGTATTTGCTTCCTCTTGACAATATTTCTAGGACAGGACACCCCAATTTTGTTCATATAAGGACCAGTGCAAGGACCCCTGCATAGAGGATCTGTTAACTACTGTGTAATGTTAACAATTCCAATCCATTCTTTTTCTGAAATTACATACTCACTTTAGGGCTCACAGCATGGGGTCAACTATGTTTTTAATGAAGGACATATGCATTTTGACCTACTTTCCTGATGTTATAATTTAATGCAGTGTACAACTCTTGGCTGTGTTCAGAGCCAGCAATGTTGGGGGTTGAATCTACGCAAATTAAAGTGTTGGCATCTTAAGTTGTTTTTGTTTGTCTTAGAGTAAGTAATGTCTTTAGGGACCAAAGCAAAACGTGACTTCCTGGAATAGAAAGGAGACAATCTCTTGTTCATTAATTATGGATGAGGTTGGCATACTGCTCAGGAGAAACTTAATGTTCACCATATGAAAAAGATGGTGACAAATCTTTATGTCAGGCTTCTTAATACTGTCTTTTTACAGAAATTAGAGAATTGCAGACTTTTCATTTCCACAGAGGTTGGTTGAAAGCCAAAAATCAAGAATGAAAAACTGAAAATCAGGATGCTCCCATGCACTGTATTCCTATGATGTTAATATTTTATCCTCCTACTTTGGACTTCAGCAGCTACACAGGGAGGCTATGTCAGTGCAGACTAATGCCAAACATGTCCATAAGTACTATGGAATCAACTGATATTCTGGCACTTACAGCTAATATCAAGTTTGAGCAATGATGACAGTATATAGTATAACTATGGATCGAGTGTATATGTGATGTTTCTACTTTGATATATGCATATATTTTTTAATCTAATTCCTTATTCCATATTATTTCAGGTTACGCATATGCTAACATACCAGCATATACAGATTTTCCCAGAAATCCTGTGTCATGAGCCTGAAGAGAGCGAGGAAAGCCCAGCCAAAGCTGTCAAAGCTGGTGTAGCCGTAGTTTGGATTCCTCCCAGCTTTCATGCACATGAATCCCTCTGGGCAGCGGCTGAGGGGCGGAGAGAGAGGAGCAGTCAGGCAGCAGCCAAAGTGACTCAGCACTTCTTCTAATCAAATATGAAAATCACAGCAGTCTCACTGGGACCAGGAGGAACAGGGACAGACACTCACCCAGAGTCCGAGCTGTTTCCACACAGAAGGGCATCTAACTGACCAGGCAGGAAGTAGAAGTTCGCTGAAGATGGAGAGACATGGAGTCATTAGTCTTTGATGAAAAAGTTGAGTAAATGCATTTATTCTAATGATTTGAGTAAATTACATCCACAATAATCACAATAATCCATTATGGATAAATTGCATTGCAAAATTATGTTGACATTTAATTACTGTTTTATATTATATGTGTCATAGACTCTTATGACAATGAACTGTCATACACAGAAGCTATTCGGGATAGTTTATGTCAGTGCAGTCACACAGTATTTTTTAGTTGTTATTTATGCATTTTCAAATGGCTCCAGTCTCCACAGTGCCACTGTGACATATTGTTTTTTTGATTGCAGCATATGGGCTGACTCATGCCCCACACTGTTCCCAGCTCATCGAAGCCCAGCCGCACTTACTTTCGTTCATGATGTACTCGTCCCAGTCGAAGCCCCTGCTGCCATTGGCCAGGTAGCTCTCAGTGGTGTTGATGGGCCAGATCACACACTTCTGACGGAGATTTCCCATGAAGAGCTGCAGGCCGATGAGGGCAAACACACTGAGGCAGAAGACAGTCAGGATCATCACGTCTGAGAGCTTCTTCACGGACTGGATCAGGGCGCCCACAATGGTCTTCAGTCCTGAGGTGGGCACGCACGTACACAGACCACACAGGTGATGCACGGAATGTCCAGCCACCACATAGTCTTATGTGTTGAAGTACTACTTATTACAAATGTAATGGCTTTATATGTTAGATATCATTTAACATATATGTATAATTCCTTATTTACTTAAAGCTTTAAGTTTTGACATAATTATACTTAATAATTATTCATGTGTAATTTCATAATGTTATATATGTTTTTAGTACTTTTGCTTAAGTAAATGCAATTAAATGTAAATGAAAAAGCAGTAGTAATACATACAGTACATTTACATATATAACATCTCTAGAAACAAACAAACAGGAAATATTTAGGAGCCTTCCCACACTTTTCCTTTATACTCATTGATTAAAGTGCACACATTATTTTTGGTCATAATCACTTATAATAATAAGGTGAATAAAGTGAAAGAGAGGGGGGAGGCTGCAGAAAAGTGAGAGGAAGTTTATAAGGAGGAGAGCACAGCAGCACAAAGAGGGCCATGAGAGGGACAATGGCACAGGCAGGGGCTGGAAAACACATGCAGTCATTTAAACTCCAAGGCTGAACAGGACCAATTCAATGCCAGCACCACTCAGGGCACTTTCTTGAACTGTCTTGTAAGAGGTGTATAGAGCAAAGCACTGACTCCCCAAAACGTGACCCTGCAGTCTGTCTCGTCACATGTTCACTCCACACAGAGAGATTACCTTCAGAGCGGGCTTCCTCTGCAGCGTTCACACAAATCCACTGGGAGCTGGCGAGACCACACCCTGAATCTATCTAGTGCCTATGACTACAATATCAACTACATTAAGAGCCTGTTTGCGTTGTCTTTATGGAGATATGCCAAAATATGTTTAAATTACATGAAATTACCATTGTATTTCTTCTTAAAATTACAGAATAAACACACTATTTTACTTTTTATTTACACCCAAACAAATTGTCAGTAAATAAATGTAGGTTTCTAATTTGCAAAGATTACTATATCATGTTACTCCTAAAATATCCATTTCATGTGAGTTATCCTTCTTTCCCTTTAACCCTCTTTCCCTTTTATATTTTCACATAGGCATGTTGACAAACCCAGCAGGGTTTGACTAAGCAGCATTTGGTTTTACTTTTTCCATCAATAGAAGTGCGTCTGTTCAGGTCAGTGATTCAAATGTCAATAGGTCAGACAACCTTTGCATCCCCAACCTCTATAATCTGGATGTGCTGATTCTTTCCTGTGTGTGGTATATCATTCACGTAGGCCTTAACAAAATCAATCAGTAACAAAGTAAAAACAAAAAATAAAAGAGGGCAAATGAAACTTTCAATGCCATTTGTCAGCCAAGCTCTTAGTAGACTAGTATTATAAAAGCAAGTGACTCAAAAGCATCATGCAGCATAAGAGATATGTTCACAAACTAGGCTTGGCAGTCTTCATACATAAGTCATGGGTGTATTCTGTTGGGTTTATGAGAGTATGAGCTATGTCATTTCATATATGAGCATCAATGTAGACTTAATTAGTTTAGCCTTTACAATCCAATTGTTTACATTCTTTATCTAGGAGGCTAGGGTTAAGGGAGAAGCAAATGTTTTATTTTAAAATAAAGGTCAACTACTCTGCCATTAAAGGGTGTATTGGTATACTGCTTATAGTCAGTAGCTGTAGTTTCATTTACTTGCTTATTGTACAAATCTAGTTACAGATAAGCAACCTGTGTTGCACACAAGGTTTGCTAAGTCATCTGGATCACTTACTTCTCCTTTAACTGCTGTAAACCAATGTAATACAGAGCTCTTCTGTGTGATATGGAGGATAGGAGGACAGAGGCTATTTCTGTGAGCTAGGAGCGTGTTAAAGTTATTTCTGGAGGGAAACACAGCTGCCTTTGAGATGGGTCTCATAATGAGACTGCTACTGGGGCAGAGGAGAGACACTTTGGAGAGCCCTAGAGGAGACTGCAAAGCCTATCAAAAATGTATTAGTACCATTTTTGATAATTTTGGAGAAAAAATAAATCAAAAAATGGTTGTCTCCAATTCTTTAGTTGTTGCGAAAATCATAATTGTAATCATAATAAGAGTAGTGAGTAGAAAAGAAAGGGTGAGAGGATCAGCCTTAGTGTTTAAACTGAGTCTCACCTGGAATGACAGAGATTGTTTTGAGTGCTCGGAGAACTCTGAACGTTCTCAGCGCAGATACATTGCCCAGGTCCACAAACTCTGTTATATATCTGAAATAGGGGAAGGATCACACACAGAACAAACACGATGACAAAACCACACACGTCAAGAGCACAACACCAGCAACACCACCGAACCAGGAGGAGACGACGCCACTCACAGAGCCTGTCCACTGAGGAGAAGGGTGGAAGGAATAAGGAAAGAGAGACAAGACACAGAGCTAACACCGACCCGCCCCGACCGTCCCACCGCCCCATCCTGTCTTACCTGGAATTACAGAAATAGTTCAATGCCCTCAACACCCTGAACGTGCGCAGAGCTGAGACATTGCCTAGGTTTACAAACTCTGTTATATACCTGTAGGATCAAACCACAGTTACAAGAGGTGGTTATTTACATTGAGAGAAAGAGTGAAATACAGTCGCCATACAGCCCTGAGCTACACAGTGGGAATGTATCTGTCAGAGCCATGTAATCATCAAGGAGGCATAGTAACATGATTTTAGTTCAGTAATTGTAATTACTTTATGAAACATTGAGTATATTTAAAGAAGATTACAGATGTTTAATTTAAGTCCTAAATGTGAACCAGGCTGTAGCTGGAGTGCTGTCTTTAAGTCTTATTGACCAACCAATGTTTCATTGTTTGATTTCTAACTTTTCTGCTTGGTTAAATCAAACATTTTGTGATATCATGTGAGAAAATAGCTGTTATGATTTTGAATGATACAAAAATCTATTGAATTGAGTAACCAGAACATTCTATATGATCTATTTCACAGATTTAACCCTTGTGTAAGTCCCATTGAAGTGTTGTATTTATGACTACATGACTCTGACATGCCCTGTTCTGAGTGGAGAAACATTTCAGAAGTTGCCTGAATGCTGCAGAGTGGAAACCTTCTGATCCCAAAGAGAGGGACCACCAGAAATATCCCAAGTAAAAAGAATCACAGCAGATGGTTATTAGACAGATGCAAGAAAAAAAGAGGCTATAAGAACCACAACTGACAGACGGTACTGCAATTTCTTCGGCTGTTGCTGAAAACAAACATATGGGAAAACATCTTCATGTCCTCAAACTGTTCATGATGTAATGTAAAGAGGTATACTTACGCCATAGAAATGACCATGAAGTCCAGCCAGTTCCATGGATCTCGAAGGAATGTAAACCCATCTATACAGAATCCTCGTGCTGTGATTTTTACAAGAGACTCAAATGTATAAATTCCCGTGAATGTGTACCTGAAGACAAATGAATTGACATAATTGGCAAAGTATGCAGCATTGCATTATTATTTTCAAGGATTTTAATGTGCAAAAACAAGTAAGACACAAGGTATAGGCAGAAATGATACGTACTCTACTTGTTTGGACCATTCTGGAGGATCGCTAAAGGTCATGAATATACAGTTGGTCAAAATTGTACACATAATGATCATGCTGAAAAGGGTGGAATGTTTGTTAAGGAAATACATGGAGATCGATAAACTAAACTGTTACACAATCACATTTTACATCAATTTCCCTACTGTAATATTTATCACATTATTTCTGTGGTTTTTTCATTATTGCCATCAGTGGTCAATGGGTTAACACCACAAATCTTCTGGCTGCACTTAGGAGTGGTTACGCATGTCCACCACTGACGGCCATTACTCGAGCCATGAAATATTCAGCTGCTGCATATTTAGTGGAAACACACTGACTTGGCCTTCCTCTCCAAATGACCAAACTATGGCTCACTAGAAGCAGCAGAGCTTTCAGGGCAACACTGTTTTAAAAACTGCTCCCAGAAGCCTCTGATAATGTATATTATGTAATAGGAGTATTGTAGTTAGCGTCTGTAAATAATTAAGGAAAGTCTCACAGTAATTCTATTATACAATATAGGGAATGTATACAAAAAAACTGACATGGTTTATTTTGTGCTAATTTGTTTCAGATTTTTTGAGATATGTAACATGAGCGTAACAATAGACGTGGGACAGGCCTGTGTCTTGAGATAGACAGAACCATTGTTCACTAATAATAGGCTTTAAGGGCAGTGCTAACCTGGTTTACTGTAAAGGAGGATGAGTCATCATTCTATTCTCTCTGTATTTCAACCACAGCTGCACATTCTATTATATAAAACTTAACAGCATAGGTTTTTACTATTTTTTGTGATCTGTTCTACATTGAACATACTTTTCACTGTATTAGAAATTGCATGAAACAGGGAGCAGCATTATAGTATCATAATACAAATACATAAGAACAGTGAAAGGATATGAATGTATCAAAATTTTAATTGCGAATCGCCTAATTGGATTAAAAGGGCTTATGAAGTACAAGGCAGGTGTGGCACTAAAACGGAAGATTGTCTTCCCTTTATTTAGCACTATAAATGTCTGTTGAGAGAAAAGAGAAAAACAACAGATTAGATTAGTCAACATAAAACCAAATGAATAAATCAATATGCTCATGAAGTTCAATTCTATCTGTTTTTCAGTTTAGAGTCTATACATATGCTGTATACATATGTATCAAGATCAAGTATAAATCAGTAAATCATAATTAATCACAATAAACATAATGTAACAATGAGAGAGAATGATAATTTTTCCTAGTCACTCATTGCTTGTGATTGTTTTGCTTTTATTTCGGAGGAAAAACCCAGTGAGCTGCTGAGACAGCACACATCAGTGGGCCTGCAGTGGCTTTGGTGGTTTTGAGAGAAGGAAAGAGGACTGCTGAGGCTTTCTGTGGATAACCTCATAATTGTTTGAATAAAACATTGCAATTTTCATGAAACTTTAATGACACACTGTGCATTTGCACCAGTGATATGGAGCTGTGTGCTTTTAACAAGGCATCCCTCACTACATTAAGGCTGCAGAGAACAAGCTCAGTGCTGACGGCTGGAGACAGTGGAGTCAGTGGGGCGGGGTAGCACAGGAAAGCTCCTCATGCTAATGCCACATGATGTGACCTGAGCACATCTAAAAGAAAACTGATAGACAGATGTTAACATAATCGTTTTAGAAACCAACATTACCAACCAATCTGAAATATTTCCAGTTGAGGAATGATTTCTACCAAGATCTGTTTTTGAAGAAAAGTGCACTGTCTTAAATCATCTAGAGCATATTTTTCTCCCTTTTTCCGAGTATGGGTCAATGCCTGAGTGAGGGCTGCCTTGGGACTCAACTCTCACACACACTTCACTGAAAGGAGCAGAAATGTCACACTTGTCCCAGGACTATGACATTTTGAAAATACTACAAGCGGTGCTCACAAACAAGTCAGCATAGTAACAAAAACACACATACATGTTACACAGTCCAAGTGAATATTATTACACGTTGAAATAGACTTGGTTATGTAGGGAGTCTTTTTCTGTAACGCATGACTAAACTGCTGCAAAGCTACTGAAATTTTCATTATATCGAGCTGAGGAGAAAACGGTGGAGAGCAAGTGAAAGCGGCAGGCAGCAACTGTAGGAGCCACTAGGAGTCAGAGAAGAAAGGAGGGTGAAAGAGGGGAGTCAGAAGACTAATATGACAGAAGAGGAGTAAGAGGGTGGAGGGAGGAGGAAGGAGGAGGTGGAAGGAGGAGAAAGGAGGAGGAAGGGGAAAAAGGAGAGAAGAGGACAGAGGAGGAAGGAGAGAGGAGAAAAGAGGCAGAGGAAGGAGGAGAGCTGGAGGAGGAGGATTGTTGGAGGGAGAGGGAGGTGAAGAAAGGAGTAAGAGCAAAAGTAGTTGGAGAAGTCGGAGAGGGACAGAGGAGTAGGGAGGGAGGAGAAGAGTCAGAGTGGGAGGAGGGAGGAAGGAAAAGGGAGGGGGAGGGGCACAAACCACAGAGCTTGAGCAGACAGGAGCTATAGCATCTGCCCTATGTGATGGCTAATTCAGAGAGCCTCCTGTCAACCTTTGTAGTGGGGACTAAATGAATCACATTTTATAATGCTTTGAGCCTGAAAAAAACTAAATTAACACACACACAGATGGTAGCCAAGCTAAAACTAAATGCTAAGCTAACATCTCAAAAGAGCCAAATCATGTTGTTTAAACCCTGTGTCTCCACACTATTTACTTTCATTTCAGCTTGAATGCATGGTTCAAATTAACCATTATCTTGCACTTGTCAGTTCCACCTCTGTCTCCCTTCCATTTCTTTTTTCTTTCTCCTTGAAAATAACCTCTCGTCAGGCTCATACAGTGAAGCCAGGTTTGACACGGCTAAGCTCGGCACAGCATGGCCTAGACTGAGTGCTGCGTCATCACCCAACCCGCCCTGACGCCATCTAAAAGAGGCCGGGATCTGAAGATTTGTTACCAGTGAGTCAATGAACGCCCCTGCTTTGCATTACCCCACCAACCCCCTGCTACCAAGAGACGTGCAACTGGACCAGCCCCTCCACACTGACAAAGACATACAGAGCAATGTTCCTTCATCAAGGTCAGCACCTGATCTGACGTCACTGCTGCTCTGCCTGCCAGGACCGAAGATGCGCCTCTCCCCTCAGCATAAAAATGAGTCTAAACTGAGGTTCCATAATTAGATTTGCTAGAAACTGAAAGATGATAGGCCTGCTGGTAAAAACGAGAGAGAGGAGGAGCTGCAGCTAGAAAGTTTAGCAAGTGTAAAATGTATCTGTGGGGTTCAGAATAATAAAAGATGAGGACTGTTGTCATAGCAAGTGACAATTAATTAAATAAAATATTCTATTTTTTGAACTGAGAAAAGTCCTCAAAATGTCACCTAAGACAGGACGCTAAAACCCATGAATATCTTATAAGTATTGTGCTGGGTACTTGTTTAAGTAATAATACTGGTGGTTAATAATCTAAATTACTATTTTTGTTTGCTGTTTTTGTAGGAATCGTGTCTTCTCCTTGTGCAGTGGACTGGTGTTACATAACCAGCAGCGTGCACGTTGTAAAGAGGAGGTATAAGACAGACAGTGCGAAAGGCAGAGCACACCTGCATACAAAGGTACATGTGCTATCCAAAAACTCAGATAACTCCAAGGTGACAAAACACTAATGCTACAATTCTGTGTACATTGACTAGAGTCAAATCAAAACAAATGTAGACAAAGAGTGAAACTAATTTTGTTACACCAAGAGAATTAAAATGCATGGCTGTTATATAAATCTTAAAAATAGATAACAAAAGATGTTTCCATGGAAAGATTTTAGCCATGATGCTCAGGCAAAATAGTCAAAGCTAGCTCTTATGCTGATAAATGATATGCTATGCTAGTATTTTTGTCATGTCTCCAGGACTATATTTTTCAAAATGGCTCCTGAATTTGTTAAAACTTTCTGCACTGTCACTTCACCATCCATCAGTATCTGCAAGTCATGGCTGCTATTTCATTTATGCTTTCAGCTCCAATTAAAAATAGAAGAGAGCAACGACAGTACAGACAGTATCCTAGCTTTTTGTAAGTGTCTTTGGTTTGACAGGTACACAGGGCTCCACTCAAGGTCACCCAGCAGCCCTCACGCCAACATGACACAAACCCCAAAGGGATTCACAACACTTCCCCTTTAAGACACCCCTCTGAATATCTGTCCGGCTACAGATTCATTTTTGAACAAATAACAAAGTCTGTCAGGTGGAACAGCAGTCTTTGTACAGCTAGTGCTCCTGCTTTTTGCTCAAAGCCCCACAAGCACATCAGAGATACAGTGGAGGCAAATAACTCAAGTGAGCATTTCCCAAATTGTACAAAAGCAATTACAATCTTCAGCCAATTGTAAAACGTCTCACCACACGTGGAACCATGTCCTACGTCACTGAAGTAGTCAGACGGACTAGTGCCTAGGCCAACGTGACTCACATGTGACGTCATCATCTACTCGTCTCCATTACTCTAAAAAGTATTACAGAGGTCCATTCATTTACTTCAGTCTACCACAATGATATCCTAACTGTGTATGTTGTCTGCAAGTCATGACTAAACTACACTGTAGCTGATGCTCTACTCTATCAGGATACAACCATCGAGTGAGAATATAATCTCACTCACACACGATGTGACTTTTTAAAATTACAAATATGCTAAAAAGATAAGTTTCCTTCATTTCAAAACCACTTAAAGCTAAAAATTAAGCCATTAACCTTGCTTTTTAAGTGAACAGCTTTCAAATTCTGGACCAATATAAATACACTTCATTAGAGTAATTCAAATTAATGGTGTATGTGTGGTTTAAAAATATATGATTTCCAATACAGTACAGTAATACAGAATGTCATCATCCAAGCCATGGCTATTATATGATGAGTAGTGTTTGTGTTTTGTGTGTTTCAGGTTGCAGTTAACTTACTTTCTGAGAGTTCACGTAGAATGGGTCTAGATCCTCCAGTGGTACCGCCACCAGTCCTGGTGGGATGTCCCCATAGATGTAGGGCAGGCTCTTGCCAGCCTCCAGGTCACTGTTAGGCTTCGGCTTGTTCTCGTCATCATCGTCACGGTAACTGCTGTCCTGCTTGGGTGGCTTTTTCTTTTTCTCCTCATTGATGCGCTGTTCAAGGGCCGCCAAAGATTCCCTGTTGAACTTCTTGAAACTGTCGGGTCCTGGCGGTGCAAGAAGGGGTGCAGCCATGTTTTCATCCTGCAGCTACTTGGGCTTTAGGTTTGTACCATCCACAGTGGTCAGCTCTAAGGAAAAGAGGATTCATTAGTCCATAGCAACAAAACTAGTTACAAATCTTCAAAAGGTAATGCAATAACTTGTTCAAAAGACATGAAAATTCCATGAGTTAAATTTCTGGTGGAGGGTCTGCTACCTACTTGTCACCATGGAGATGTAATTGCTATGCTTAGAATGTTGGTATGACTAGCACATCTAGCACTTATTCATTACGAGTGTTTCTGTTGCTCAAAAGTACAATAATTCCTGCATGTTAGTTTTCATCATTTTACATTTAGTAAATACACATACAAAGTTTAAAGTACAGTGCTGTTAGTCATTGATGCAGTTGGCAATTCTCTTTACACCTAGGCCTGAAAATATCTAAAATACAGCAATGATTTCACCCTGTCATGGCACATGTGTGAGCACTGATTTTTAAATTCCTCACAGCAATAGCAGCAACACAGTTTATTATATACATTTGGCTTTGAAATGATTTTGATGCTCATTTTGTATGTCCTGATTATGTGCTGCGCTTGTATTTTAAAATAAGGGAGTACAATAATGTAAACATAGTCATATAATTACTTTATTATAGAATCATTGAGAATAAAGTTAATAGAGGGATTTTTTTAAGCAGACAGTTTCTCATGACATCTGATGTCATGACATCAGATTAAACATAAGTCAGAATTTCCCCTCATTAAACCAAGGGGAAATTTTGATTTGAGAAGAGAATATTTGGAAATGATGGGTAAAAACATGCATGTTGAAAGACATTTTTTAAGCATACCCTATACACATTGAATGTCCCACTACAATTGTTGACTTGGGCGCTAAGGTTAGTTCAGACACCCGTTCAGACATATCTGCATCGTTAAAGGCCTGTCACATCCCGGCTTCTCTCTTGCATAACACAATCTCCTCAAAGATTGCTCGTCGTGTCATGGTGAAATCTCACGGAAAATATCCCGCTTCTGCCTCTGTCTCTGTATGAAAACGTTAGCAAAACTGCGAAGAAAAACACGCAGCCTTTGAGCCAAGACGTCTGTTTTAAAATGGACCCCGGAACCTCGCAGTCACTGCCTTCTGCTGCTCTGCTGGCGCTGTCCGCTTCAGCACCACGCGAGCGCGCGCACACAGACATGCGCGCACACACACTGCACACGGGCTGCATACGGGAGGGTTCACTGAAGGGAAAAAAAAAAAAAAAAAAAATACGCTATGTGGAGAAGCATTTTGGCCTAGGCGCCTGCAGGCCGCCACTTATCCACCATTCCTCCAGTTTGTGTTATTAAACGATGATGACAACACTCGTCGCGTTGCGTCTGTCTCTGGAGTGTCACATTGCTTACATTCTGTCTAGCGTCAATCATATTCCTACTCAGGACACTAAGCGTTCCTAGTCATGGTCATGGGAGGTGACATTAAACAACGCGTCGAGTGGACATTTTAACGTTTTGCACAAAAGAAAGAAAACTCCCAAAGAGATACTGCGCAAGAAGTGGTCCGATACAACCAAATAGTCCACAGCAAACTGCTGCAGTGGGTGGTTTGCACTGAGTGTGGAGAATGTCACGCGGAGGTAAACGCGACAGAAATAAATACAGCTAAAAAAAAAAAAATAAAAATAAAAAGCACTGTTTTTTTTAGAATACAACATTACACGTTAGGTTTATGCATGGTAATTTTAAACTAAAGGGAACTGCACTGTTTTTCTGGGGTTTTGCGCGTCGCCTTGAAGGATCTGCACCACACCCGTGAAGCCATGTCGACTGCTAAATCAATACGACTATATCAGTGCACTGGTAGCCTACAGCAGGATGCTAGACAGCTGTATTTCACACGGTATAGACATGACATAAAACATATCGCATACCATCTGCAAAGAGCAATGACAACGCGTTCATATGAATCCAGGCGACATGAGCTGTAGATGAGGATGACCAGGTAATACTCACGCGTAGCATTAAAGCCCCGGCCAAAACCCATTTGCAGCATCCCGTCCCCTAGAGAGTTAAAACACGGTCTTTTAACAAGCTATAACCAAAATGAATCGATTTTACCTTATTGGAGAAGAGAGGACCACTGAGATGGCACCTTACCTGAAGCCCATCGCCAACACATTCACTCCCTTAAGGGGTGTTGAAATCAAATTCGACAAAATACAATCAATTTTAATATTAAAAGCTTTCAGTATAAACATACTCTACCTATGGATAAACGTGAACGTATTTAGCAAGCCCAGACAGTCGCTCTATCCATTCTGCTCCAAAAAAGGATGCGGGCTGTGCGTGCGCCTCTGCGACATTTACGCAAGGATACCGACACCGACAAAAATGAACCCTCACCGAGCAATATAAGCTCCACTATATCTAAATCTATAAAATGAAGCATACTCACTTTGTAAGCGTTACAAAGAATCCTGGAAGACTGGGCAGGACTGCAGATGTGGAAAAGATCGGAGAGAAACTGCGGTTGTCGCCATATTGTTGCTGCTATCTTCCCCCTCAGTGCGAGCAGTTTCCCTGCATAATTGATGACTCTCAGCAGAATGTAAGGGAGTGTCGGCGAGTGCGTTTCGTCAAATCCTAAAGGTCATTTAGGCCTGCAGCCCGTAAAAGCCCCCAGTGAACGCCTCTTGACCAAAAAGGGGGGCTTCGAGGAGGAGACTGCGTGAGAAAAGCTGCGCACGGTTTTCTATGCGTTGACTAAATATGTGGAGAGTTTAGTGCACAAATGTAGCGCTGTCAAGCTGTGGGCTTCGCTTTGGTGAAGGCCGGTGCCTGCCCAACACTGAAAAGAAGACTGTTAATACACATAACATCATTACTCATTTAAAGATCCGTCCAATATATGCAAAATCGTTATCTACTCCTAAATGCCACTACACTTAATGCTGACAGTTAATTTTATCAATTGCCTCTTTATCTAATGCTTGCTCTCGCCTCTCATCAGCCGCACCAATTAATATGGAAATAAGAGCCTGATGTGCCCACCTGCCCCCTGCTCGTGCCTTTTGTTGTTATGTAATGTGTGGGAATCAATCCAACTGGACTCAAGTTAGCTTAATGAAATGAACATAAGAACAGAAGATAGCACCTGCTCGTCTTTTGTCTTCAACTGTCACTTTTGACGTACAGCACGCGGGCGTGACGTCACTTTCTGAACTAGGTGCATTTGTTTGTATTTGGTTTGAAAAATGCAAAACTCAACTGACGGCACACGCTTAAAACGAGATGAAATTGTTCATATTTGTGGTTCTTTTGACGGCAACGATTTTGCCATTAGATGCTGCCTACAACGGGAGCAATGGTGAGTGAAGTCAGATTAAAACAACGACATGAGCAGCATGCTGACCAGTTAAGGTTTTTAACTTTACTTCTGTGGTCTAGACTGTGGGTTGCGGTTCCTGGTTGGCCCCCCAGTTGGTTCCAGGATTGTGGGGGGCCAGGAGGCTCTGTCAGGGTCCTGGCCTTGGCAGGTCAGTATCCAGCTCTTCAACATTCACTACTGTGGTGGTACCATCCTGAACCCTCTGTGGGTGCTGACCGCCGCCCACTGCTTCATCAAATATCTGTGAGTAAGACCATTTCAGAAACATTTTAACATCTCCTAATGCGCTACAACTATCTTTATGTTCTATTTCATAACATCTATAAATTGGAGTCTTCAGGCATTCTTTTCCTGGAAGCTCTAATCACGAAGGATCAATATATTTAAGATATAGAGATATATCTTATCTCACATGAAGATATCCTAATTTCTAACCCTGAGTCTCCCATCTTGTCCTTTTCTCATTATCAATGCCCCTCATGCTCATTACCTTACCACCATCTTGAAATATAAAGACATAAAGTCTTTATTTTTCATCACTTCAGCTCCTTTTTGAAACCTATATGTCAAAACAAAATGCTTCTATGCAATTGTTGGCACCTATAATAGATTTTTGTTTGTCCATTCAGTGAGATCAGCAGAAGACATTTCACTGTGGTGGGAGGGCTGACAACACTGTCTCAGCCCGGTGATCATGCACAGGTTCGCTACATCACAAGCATCAGGATTCACATGGAATACGATACAAAATCCTCAGACAATGATATGACTCTACTACGCTTGGACACTCCATGGTACTTCAATGACTACGTACACCCCATCTGCATCCCCAACAACACATCTGAAGAGGTCACACTCAACTTCACCCACTGCTTCATCTCGGGATGGGGCAGCACCTACTATGGAGGTTAGTCAGTCCATCAGCCCAAAGCTTTTAGTTTAAAGGATCACAGAGAATGCCTCACACCCATTATAATTTTCTTTTTTAAATTCAAATTGTATAATGTGTTAGATGGTAGAATAGGTGGTATGTACTAATTAAATAAAGCTGACATACATTATACATTAAGGACTGTCAAAAATCAATAACATCCTAACTTCTCTGCTATTCTTAAGAGCACATTGTTGTACACATTGACTTTTGGCAGGGTTTCGTGTGAACAGATTGCGGGAAGCAGAGGTGGAGCTGATTGACCAACGGACATGTAACCTGATCTACTTTTACCACGGCATGATCACTAACAACATGATCTGTGCTGGTTTGGAGAGTGGTGGGGTGGACACATGTCAGGTTTGGGATCTCATTTCATCACAGAGGAGAGTGTTTAAGTTAGGATGCCTGTGTGACGTGTGTTTGTTTGGGTGTTTGTGGTGTAGGGTGATAGCGGCGGGCCTCTACAGTGCTACAGCGAGGAGCAGGGGAGGTTCTACCAGCTGGGAGTGACCAGTTTTGGATATGAGTGCGGTCTCCCATTTAAGCCAGGGGTGTATGCACGGACCAGCAGGTACTCAGTCTGGATAAAGGTGACACAGGAGAGCTTAGCAAGTCCAAAGTTCAATACAAGTCAGGTGTGGGTCATCCTCAGTGTTGGACTAGTGCTGCTACAAATGGGATAATAAATTAAAAGTGTTTATCAATGTACAAAGCATGTATTTCACTGCATTTTTACAGGACCAACAAAAAGTGTGCTTAAAGTTGCTTAAAAATTTGCTACATAATTTTGGACATATAACATTACTGTATATGTTATTCTCCATTTCATATGGCTATGTTTTAAAATTCCTCAACAGCCCTTTAAGTTAAAATGTGATGTTACTCTCTCCCACTGCCCTTAGCCTGAACATTACAGTACAGTAAAATAGATAAAAGTGATGTCACATATTGGTGCACCAATCACAATACAGAATGGGAAGATTCCAAAATACTGTATGGGTATGGGTGTTGCCATGGTGATTCACTCAAAGTTTACTGCAACTGTTTTTGGTTAGAAAATGAGTACCCATCAATCTGTAAATTTAAATTATAAGTTTTAAATGTTGTAAAATACTAAGACAAAAAGAAAAACAATTATGAAAAAAATGAATAACATTTTCCAATTGTTATTGTTCAACTATTTGAAAATAATTGAGGTGCTTCCTCATCAATGATGAGCATCATTCAAAGCTTTCAGTTGTATTTAAATATGCCGTTTCCTGTGTATACCATGAAATATTTATGATGTTTACCTCAAGTCGAACACATGGAGCACATAAGGACTAGGGGTTAGCTACTCACTCTGTAAAAACTAACATACGTTTTTCAAAAATGTTAATATTTTGATTTGAGTCCATCCCAAACTGGCACAGAGCTTTTAGTGACATCATAGAAGAAACTACTTGTCCATTCAAAGCGGGTTGAGCGACACCTAGTGGACACACAGTGCAAATATTTGAACGCTTGCAAAATATAAAAATGACGCAAGAAACTTTGACAAAGCATCTTTTATTTGACATGAAACACATCCAAATGACAGTGACAGTGTCAAGTAAGACATGTTTTCGCACCAGTTCAGAGCGTCTTCGCTGCAGCTTGACTAATGCATAGTGATCGGATAGTCCTTGGTTTGAGGTATACATCGTGGGCCCTTGAGTTTTTGCGTGGAAAATCCCAATTTTATTACCTCACGTTGTGGACATTACATTTTGTGCTTAAAATAATATTGTAGCTTTCAAATGCGCACTGTTCTGCAACTTGACAGCTGAAAGTGTAATTGAAGAAAATTAGTGCACTGTATAGCAAGAAGTCACAAAAATGGAAAAAAAAAAAAAAAAAAGACCTTAGAATAGGACATTGGATGACCACTTTCGTGGATGAAGAATAGCACCAATGTCTATTGAAAAGGCTTTAAGGCCAACTGGAAATTATAAAACTTTATTTAAAATTGGAGTGAAACAGTAGCAACAAAGCATTATTACATGATGGCAGAAAAACAGCTTCACTTAGTTATGTGTACATTTGTCTAAAATAGAAAAAAATAAAAATAAATACTGGCTCATAAATTGCCAGCAACTGTCACAAAATGAAAAGTGGTTTATTAATAGTTGTATTAATTATAACAGAGAGATGTGCAGTTTAACAGAAAAAGACACTGTTTAAAATATATTAACTTCAAATTTTGGATGGAAAGACATAAAATACAGTGGAGGCGACATGTAAAACAGAAATTAACATAAAAATGGTTTAAAATCTGGGGACAAACCTTGCACCAGAGAACATTTAAAACCATATTGGGAAAAGTGCACATCTCTCCAACCTAAACAAAGTGAAACCTTTTTTGTTGTAATGAGTTAAACATAAAAAAAAAAACATTGTAGAAATAAATGCTGTCAAGTATGAAACTATCAGTCAAGTTTATCATAGACACTTTCCCATGTACACATTAATACCAATAATACAGTTTTTGACCTAAGATACAGTATACAGCTGACATCCTTTACCCTTATCATAGGCCCCTTTAAGGATTTTAGAGACAACTTTTTCTGCCATATTCTTACACAGGTGGCTCTGACTGTTGTTCGTTTTCAAATGCAGTTATTCTTCTTCTTCAGTGTTACAGACATTCAACAAGATTATGAAATGATCAAAGGCGCGTTCAAATAAAACAACACACTCCCTGCTCCCCATTTAAAATGTGATTTGGAGAGGCTGGTTTTGTATAGTTGCACAAATGTTACAGCCAGATATGTAAAAGTGATGGAGCTCCACGGGTTTAAGGCAAAAGACTGTGGAGTTTCCTTTATTTTTTCATAATTGAACAGTCCTTAATCCTAAATGTGACAAAGACGCAGCATAAAGGCACTATTCTGCCTCTTGGTGATCTACATATGATGCCGATACAGTAATATCACATACTGGAAAAGCTAGTGGCTCAAGATATGATGCATTACCCTTAGTAAACTAAAGTCAGATTTACGTGTTCCTGGGCTTTTTAGTATTTTTTCCAGCTGATGAATGTAGCCATTTAGCATAGCACAGCGTAGCACTAGCGCTAACATCAAGCCATACTTGGGATCTATCATTTGCTCTTTTGGGCCTCTATTTGACCAAGGCTGTGTCTGAAGTATTCATACTATTTATAGTTTTAACAATATAACACAATATAACCCCAATTTATGGAAGAATCTGTTGTTCGTCCAAACAAAACCAAAGAAAACCAAAGCAAATACGATTCTTGTAAATTCTTCTGATATAATCAGATGCAGGCATTCAGTAGCCTGGTGGATGTAATCACCAATTTGGATCATTTAATTCAGTTGAGGTTAAATAGTTTAATGTAATTGTAAAAACATTTCAGACAGCCTTTAATTGCACTCTTATTAGTACAGCTTAACAACATTGACTACATCTTCTCATCTTGAAACTGTTTTCTTTTAAAGAAATTAATTAGCACTATTACAATCATAAAAGCTATCTAACGGACGAACTCCTACTCACACATAAAGAAAAGATTTGCCTCAGAGCTCAGCGGTTGTTTTTCTTCATGTTGTATGAGACACATTCTGCGGGACGTAGCCAGTTTGTTACGGGATGAAGCCAAAGTGCCCCCGCTTTTGGGGAGGGTAGCACATCAGGCAGGTGATAATACTGACTGGACTGACCCTGGCTGGGGTGGGCTTGTGTGGATGCTGTGGGGGTATGTCCTCATCAGGTGCATGGGACATAGGTACAGGGGCTTTTAAAGTGCAACAGGAATAGGTCTGGTCCCCTCAGCAGGTGCAGTGGGACGTCCTACCGGTGAAGAACCAAGGATGGAGGAAACAAACAGGTGCATGGTTTGGCTTAAAACCAAGGAATGAAATCATAGTTGTCTAAGATGCATTAAAACGTCTTGAATAAAAATGGGAGCAATGAGAGAGATGACAGATGGAGACAGATTCCTTTCCTCTGACAGTACTGTCAGCCCCTCCCATCCCAAATCACCTGAACTGCAGAGGCGGAGCAGGTCAAAGCAACAGTTTTCGGAGGGAAGCCCACTCTCGCTGCTCCACTCTGCAGATGTGTGGTGTCCAAGGCCCTCCCTGTGTGCTCAGAGCCTGGCTCAGGTTTCTGCCTCTCTCTTTGAGGGCTGTTCACATGTTGTAGGCCACATAGATGGGGTCCAGTTGGTCTGCCAGGAAAGAGTCCCGTAGGTGCATGCGCTGCTTCTCACCTCTGGAGTTGATGGGAATGACCCCTGGGTCCACGATGACTACCACACCTACAATCAGGTGGTGCTCCTCCAAAACTACATTAGTGACCAGAGGCACCAAGTCCAAGGCCTCTTGCTCAGACCCGCTAAGCTCTGCCACCACCACCAGCAAGTTAGTCCATGTAAACACAGCACTGAGGGCAACAAGGCACACATTTAGAACCAATCTCTAAAGATATTTTGGTCCCAATCTACATCTCACTGACATTACTCACCTCTCTGCAATGCTGCGATGTGCTCGGGACACTGAAGTCTCAATGTCTATGGGGTGGTATCGCAGCCCTCTGAGCTCCAATGTTTCATCCAGGGAGCCCACCACAAACAAGGCATCATGACGATCTGCAAAGCAAGTTGTACATAAGACTGTTCATATAAGTGATAAAAATCAAACATAATCTTTTAAGGTATCCCTTTTTACATCTGCTCAGAGTGTAAGCGATGACCTCACCTCCGCTTGCATCCAACAGCTCGGTCCTCTTGATAAAGCCTAAATATCCTGTCCTGGCCCACACAGTCTGTGGATCTCCAAAGCTGAGTTTGGTGTTGAAGTGATCGGCCTGTAGATTTTCTTCTCCATAGATCGTGTAGTAACCACTGGCACTGTGAGCACTATTCACCCAGATCTAACAAAAAAAAAAAAAAAAAAAGTAAAAAAATTTAAATTCTCTTTCCATCTCTTTAAATAACAACAGCTGATAGTACATTGCCAAATATGCATCACAACTATGCAATAAAATGTATGCATGTGTTACAACATTTATTTTGTGTACAATAGCAATTCAGTGTTTTACAACATTGAATTAACTTACAATTGCACACAATGTAGTTTTAAGTTCTTACCTCTCCAAGATGTGAGTCTCCTAGTGGGCCTCGGGTCTCTGGGTTCACAATGATTACCCTGACTCCAGGAAGGATCTAAAGTAAGACACATTTTGCACAGTTTTAACTACAAGCACAAACCTACTACTGACTATTGCATTCTCCTTGTGTATGGGCAGTTCTACAGTCACACAAATGAGCCACAAGTCAATAATCAATACGCACTGTGCCTGACTCCATGAGCGGAAGACTCTGTGGCGCCCCTCGCTCTACCAGTCTCACCCTGAAGGAGACACATACATAGACCACAGTGTTAGACCAATACAGCATGTCGCCATCTATGTATGGTGATGTGCAAAGGACTTACCTGTCATGCCGTAGTGACTTCATATCTACATAGACCGTAGAGGGGTCGGGTCCAGAAGTGCCCTAAGCAGAATAAGAAAACCATCATTTATCATCCTAAATTTAAGTCTTGTAAAATGTTAACACAGAATTTATGAAGTTATGTTAACAGCTGTCCTATAGACTAGGCACAAAGTGTAACTGATTAACTATGGTGTCCCACTT